CATATGTATAATGGTAAGTCTAGACATGTGCGTCGTAGACATAATACCATTAGACAACTGCTCACAACTGGTGTTGTCTCGATTGACTACGTAAAGTCAAAAGACAATATAGCGGATCCGCTGACCAAAGGGTTAGGAAGAGAAGTTGTGGAGAAGTTGACACGAGGAATGGGTCTACTGCCCTTGGACTAAAAAGTTCTATAGTGGATACCCAACCTAGCTGGCACCTAGGTTCAATGAGACAACTAAATTATGGAACGAAACGCGTCACTGTGGGGGTCTCGGACTCCCTACCACTCCTCGTTAAAATAGTGACTCCCGCAAGAGGCTAGCATATTAATGCTTTAATGATTCTTGAGTATGCGGGATACTCGAGAAAGAATCACCTATGTTAGAGAGAAGTGAGGGTCGCTTCAAAGGAGAATTGTTGGGCACAATTCTTTAGAAACACTCGCAGAACCAGGAACGGTGACCCACGACCAAAACGGGCACACTCATGAGAGCAAGAGCATGGTTGGGAGATTTCTGTGTGAGATATGTCATCGTCTACACAAACGGCAGTCGGTTCAAAGACATCGCGTTCTACCGTACAGCCAGTAGAGTAAACATATCTTCACGAGGGAAGGTTCAAAGGGTATAGTGACTCCCTACCTATCCTATGCAGGGATCGACCGTTTGAACACAGTTGTTTCCGATTTCAAAATACCGCGAAAATCAATTTTTCATTCATGTGGGGGATTGTTGGAAAAAAATAGCTTAAAATGGCATGTTAAGTGGCTATTTTGTGGTACAATTATCAGTGGGGTCCACTTCCGATTTGGGTCGGGTTAAAGTGGATTCGGATTCTTCGTAGTGAGACGAAGAGATCGATATATTGTACGCTCAAAACGGATAATGGGTGAATGAGATATTGATTCTCAAAGTAGACCCATTTGAGTTGGAAAATGAAGGGAAAAAGTGTGCTTTTGTCCCACATTGCTTTGGAATGAAGATTTTCCCCCCTTATATACAAGAGTTCTTTTGAAGCTTGTAGAATTGTATAGCATAGAGGCTCTCTCGCGCGGGGGGGGGGGGGGGGGGGGGTGCAAATCAAATTCCAACTAGCAGAAGGCTTGATTCAAGCCCGAGCTCATGTGCGCCGGCACCTGGGGGCACGAATGTCGTTCGAAAATTGGCTGGCCTTGCGGGCTAAGTTATGCCAAACTTCGGTATCATTTTCCGACTGGTATACTGGTATAGCCACTTGGTTCGGCCAGAACCGAACCGAGAGCACCTACTCTCGTGCAACAGAGTCCACGAGAGGTGCAAGGGCCGAAACTGGATGAGGTCGAAAGTTGAGACCGAACCCTGTACGCTAACGGTCAGGAACCCGAAAGTTCTGACTGTTGAGGGGATTGAATTCATCGGTTACGGAATTAATTGTCTATTAATTCCAATTTTGAATTCTGAATTCAATTCCCAGGTAGTGGCCTGCTGTTATAGCTGTTGGAAGGCAGCTTTAATGTCATTTTTAATTGCCATAATAAAGGCTATTGGCTCCTTCAACCCTATATAAGAGAGGGTAGAGGCAGTAGAGTTTTACACACAAAAACATAGAACACGAAAGTTCGTTTTTTTTTTTCAGCTTCAAAACCTCTCTGCTTCTACTCTTTCTTGACCTAATGTGTTCATAGCCATTGTCTTGCTCGCCGGATTCCTTGTTTGAGTGCTCAAACATTGAATCATTAGCAAGTTTTATCCTGGGAAGCCTAGGCCACAACGCTCCTAGCATCTTTGGGAGGTGGCAAATAAGGTTTTAAGGAAAGAGTGCTCACTTGACTCTTGCAAAAACCCAACACCAAACACTAGCCACTTTTCTTCATCTTTTCTTCCCTTCTTTCCAGAAAAATAATAATCTTATTTTTTGATTATTATTTGTGTTTTCTACCAACGGTACCAACAGTTGACACCTCTTCCGTAAGGACAGTTGTCACATACGGGTTGTCTTCAATCGGCAGCCAGGCATGCTGCCCAATCAAAGTTTCTTGGCCATTCCCAACACTACGACGACAGCCCTCACGCACCACATCCTTGTGATACCCCATATTTTGTGGGCACTGTACGAGGACCATGACTAAAATATTTTTAGTTTCCTAATCCGTATTATCTTAGAAATATTATTCTTTGAGTCTAATAACTTCTTAATCCTAATATAATATGTACACCTATATATTTTTCCTAATGATAATAATTATTTAAATAAATAAATAAATAAATATATATATATATATATATATATATATATATATATATATATATATTTTCCTAATCCAAATATATATACATTGTCTTCCTATTTAAATTTATATATGCAAATATATATAAGTACGTATGAATATATATGACGTCTATGAATATATAAATATATATTTATATATATATTTCAAAAATATACTCTACATAATTTTAGCAGCATTTATTAATTCCTTATCCTACTACAGTACTAACTCTAATATATAATTCCTCATTATTATCCCTACTCCTAATTGATATCATTCTCATCCTCTCCTCTGTCACAATACACGCCGAACGAAAGGAAAAAAATATACTTAGCCATCTTTTTCGATCAGCAATTGCTCTTCTCTTCTCTGTTCACTGTAGGAATTCAAGCGTTTTGTTGATTTTAGAATCCAGGTAAGATTTATGTTCACTAAAATCCTTTTACCCCAAATCAAAAACTGATTTTACTAATTGTTTATTTGATTCATGATTTTGAAAAATTGATGATATTTGGTGTTGTAAGTTATTTGGTTATATTATGTGAGTAGATATATGAGTTTAGATGTTTTGAAATCCCTGCACATGTGATATGGTGATTTTTTGGTGATTAAAAAGGAAGAATTTTACTCAATTTGATCATTGCCTTAGAAAATTCTGACTGGCGCAGCTGGAAAGAAAAATTCGTGAAAAATACTTCCTAAACTTATTTTTGCTTGAACTTTTTTCTGGATACTCTAGACTTGATATACTTGATGTTTGTAAAAAGTTTTGATTAAAAATATGTTTAGGTTTTTCCAGAATAATTTCGTAATGTTGAGGCAGTGTTCTGCCAGTTAAATTACAGTCTGGCGCTGTGTTGGGAAATATTTAGGGAAAAATACTTCTAGGCCTTGGATTGGCTTGAAAATTTTTGTGTGTAATCTAGGCTCTTTTTAATACTTATCTGGAAATTTTCATATGAAAATACGTTACGGAATTTTCTCAGTAAATTTTGCAATTCAGGTCATAGTTTCTAAAAATTTTTGTCAGTTTCTTATTTGAGATATTGAGAAGTTGCTTGCTTGTGAAATATCATTACTGTTATCATTTTTATAAATATGGAGAGTTGTGTTCCTAATAATTAGGTGTGGAATACGCTAATCTGTGTTATATCTATGAGGTTAATAGGATGTTTGGAAATACATTTTTGGAAATATTGGTACAAAGGTTATAGATTCAGGTGTAAAGTTGAAAGTATTATTTGGGTGGAAAGATTTTGCTTTAAGTGGTGAACTTTTGAGGTTTTAGACATATATATTTTGTCAATGGAAAGTGGTGCCATCTGGTGTTTTTGTGAAGTGAGCGGTTGGAATATACCGACTCACTAGGGAGCCTAAAAACTCTCTGTTTTGTGGAGTGAGCAGTTGAGATATACTGACTCACTAGGGGGTTTTATATAACTTCCCTGTTGTTTTGAGGAGTGAGCAGTGATGTAAAAGCTGACTCACTAGGGAGCCGTGAAAACTCCCTGTTTATGAAAATCTATTTTTTTGAGAATTTGAAAATCCTCCATTTGGTACCCATTTCTTCTTGGCAATTTATATATATCAAGTGTGATTGATTTTGATAAATTTAAATGTATTATTGGAAGATGTTCTCTTGGAAAGAGATAAATTGAGAGATTGGAATTCTCTCTTTGGTAATACTATTTTGAGGTTATGTTGAGAGATTGAAATGATCTCTTTGGTTATTATTTTGAGAGTTTGGAAACTTTATTTGGTTATTATTGGAAATTATTTTGGTGATTATATTATGATTATGATTTAAGGAATTGAGTAATGAGCTTGTTATGAAATGTTTTGAGGTTATGGGTGTATGGAAATGTTGATAAAGGTTATATGGGAATCTTGAGGAAAGAAAAATGGTTGAATGATTTTTGGATTATGGATAGGCAATGCCTTAGTCGTTTTGTTAGAAGTTGTTATGGATATTTTTTTTGTATTTGGATGTGTAATTTCCTCAATATATATTATAAATGGTTAAAGTTAAAGATTATTGGTTTGTTGATGAAAATAAAAATGTTTAAGGGGTCATTCTAAAAGCAAACTATCTTCTCCTATATGTTACATGCTATGTGCAAAATGTTTTACGGGGTGAAGTAGATCTTACAAGCTTAATGCTGAATTTGTGTGTTTCTTTGTTTTCTATTCTTTAATTGTTTTTGCAGGAACTCTTGCATGAGCATTGGACATGAGAATGAGTGAACCACCTAGAGATATCATTTATTAGTTAGACATTTGAATTGTTAGTTATTTTTGTACTAATACATATTTCGAGTTATTTATTGTAAATTGTAAATTTAGCCTTAGCGTTTGGGTATAGAGAAATATCTGAGCATGGCGGTAGCACTCTCATTTTCTTTTAGTTTTATTTTCGCTTCCGCAGTTACATTCGTTTTCAAAAAAAATTGTATGTATTTTCGACAGTTTATGTAGTTTAAGAAATAGGGGTGTTACAATCCTTCACTGCCAGCAGCCCCCTCCAAATGTATGATGGGTTTGACCCTTCTCCCGCATCAAAGTAAACACATCTCGGGTAATAGCGCGCCTTATAAACACGCGCCACAAGAGAATGCGGCCGAGTTACCAGACGCCAAGCTTGTTTACCCAACAACGCAAGATTCATCTCATGAAGCTTCCTGAACCCCAATCCCCCTACCATCCTAGGCGTTGCCAAACCACCCCACGCATGCCACCTTATACCTTTCCCGGAGCCCACAGAGCCCGTCCACCAATACTCGGTCATTAAAGTCTCAATGTCCTTACACAAGCCAGTCGGTAACAGAAAAACCATCATAGCATATGATGGCATTGCTTGTATAACATTCTTCAACAGCACCTCCCGACCTGCCCGAGACAGGAACTTCGAATTCCAAATGCGGACCCTTGTCAAGATCTGTTCCTTCAAATATCCCAAAATCTCCTTCTTCCTTTTACCCACTAGCGAAGGGAGGCCCAAATATTTGCCAGCCTTATTGCCCTCCGCCACCCCTAGAATCCGAACCACATCATCCCTAACCGGCTGTGATCTGAAACAAATCGCAGATTTATCATGATTAATTCTCTGTCCGGAAGCTTTCGAATATGTATCTAAAATGTACCTCATTTGATGGATCTCCTGGGCATTTGCACTCAAAAATTAAAAACAGTCGTCCGCGAACAACAGATGTGATATCGCGGGCGCCCCTCTTGCAACACGCGCCCCGTGCAACCTGCCTTGACTCATATGTTTATCAATCTACACACTCAGGCCCTCCACAACAAACAGAAATAAATACGGTGATAACGGGTCCCCTTGTCTCAAACCACGCCCGGGAATTATCAGCCCTAACTCACGCTGTTCATGCAAAATGTGATATCGGACCGCACTAACAGACTCCAGTAGCACATCCACCCATCTCCTGGCAAAACCCATTCTAACCAAAACTGCCTCTAAGAAATCCCACTGTACCCGGTCATACGCCTTACTCATATCTACCTTCAACGCATCTACCCCTTCCCTCCCCTGTGTTTTCCGTTTCAAATAATGATGCACCTCATATGCGAGCATCACGTTATCCGTTATTAGGCGCCCAGGCACAAACGCACCCTGCGACCCCGAGATGAGATAATCTAGCAATGACTTCATTCGGTTCGCACATACCTTCGCGACAATTGTGTACACCACATTGCAGAGTGCAATTGGTCTCAAATCCGCCATCGACTCCGGGCTTGGTTTTTTCGGCACCAGCACAATGAAAGTGTCACTCGCCTTCTCAGGTAACTTGGCCATTTCAATAAACCCATGACAGAACATCGTGACATCCTTGCCAACAATGTCCCAATAATGCTGAAAAAATCCCGGCCCTAAACCATCCGGCCCTGGAGACTTATCTGGATGTATTTGGAACACCGCTCTCCGGACTTCCTCTTCACTTACCGGCCTTAACAGTTTAGCATTATCCAAAGCAGAGACCTGGGATGTAATAATCTCAATAACCTCCTGCATGTCCCCATTGTCCGGTTTAAACAAATTCTCAAAATAACTTAACATGACTTGTCCGACAGTTTCCTCCCCCTGTACCCAATTACCGGAACCATCCTTAAGCCTCTTCACCTTGTTTTTATGCCTCCTGGTCTTTACAGAGTTATGGAAGAACTTGCTATTCAAATCCCCGCCCTTATACCAATGTTCTTTCGCACGTTGCTTCCAAAAGAGATGTTGTTGCTCCAACAGCCTCAACAGTTCATTATCAGCTCTGGCATACCTCATGAGCCCTTCTGCATCTACCCGATCCCGCAAAGCATCCATGGTGGCCTTGCAACTCTCAATACGCCGCATAAAGTCCTTATTATAATTCCTCCCCCATCGCCATATATCACGCCCACACCATTGCAACTTAGTTAAGACATCCCTACCTGCTGCATCATCCCAGGATCTGACAACAATTTCCCGACACCGGTCCTCCCTGAGCTACATATTGTCAAACAGAAAACGCCTACGCTTGACTGCATTTTCTACAACAACTGGAGTCAACAAAAGGGGAAGGTGATCAGAGTAAGGACATGCCATACATCAGAAAACAGCTCATGCGATACAAAAATTCTGTCTAACTTCTCTTGAACCATGTTTGGGCGACCACGGGAACGAGTCCAAGTCAACTGTGCACCATCAAAAGGCATTTCCCGTAGCCCACAGTCTGCGATCGTTTCTCGAAAACTATTTATCTGCCACGGCGGATGCGGCGCATGACCCCTTTTATCAGCCTGGTACATAAGGTCGTTGTAGTCACCCATGATTACCCATGGCAATAAACTCTCCCCTGCCAGTTGACGCAACATTCGCCAGGCTTCTCTCTGCCTATGTCCCTCCGGGTAGCCATAGTAACCCGTAAACCGCAAGGTGGGCGTGTCTACATCCAGAGATATAGTTGTATCTATATGATTGCTAGAATATGTTATTATCTGGAGTTGCACTATGCTCGACCATAACATTGCCAACCCTCCACTGTGACCAACTGCATCAACACAAAACATATTTGTGTACCCCAACTGTACTCGAACTTCCTCCATTCTCACACTATTCGCAAATGTCTCAATTAAAAAAAACCACCTGTGGCCTCTTTGTACGGACAAGGTCCGCCAGTACCCGAATTGCCGTTGGGTTTCCAAGCCCCCGACAATTCCAACTCAGGATACTCATGTCTCCCGGCAGAGCTGCTCCGCAACACCCGCCGTTGGTCCGTTTTTTGTCACTGCGGCCTCACAATCCATCTGAACAGCGTCGTCAACACGCCTCCTCTTCGAATCAGCCACCATTATAACTGGAGCCATACCAGTAGTAGTGTTACTTACTCCTGAGTCTCGGCTTCCACTACGCTCCCCCATTGTGGGTTTTACCACCTCCATCCTCGGTGCCCGCCACAACCTGCGCTCAGCATCAACTTTGGGAGCGACCCACCGTTGGCCTACACTCGGTGCAGTCCTTCTTGCGCCTGCCCGTAACCACTGGCCAAACGGCTTCCCATTGGATAGGTCCACCCCATGAACGACCTTCGGGCATACCCTCTGTCCATGACCGATCACGCCACAAACAAAACAAAACGTCGAGAGCCTCTCGTACCGGAAATCCACGAACGCCCACACCCCGTCGTCCTTCTTCAGTTTCATCTGCTTCTTCAGTGGCTTTGTCGCATCAATGGTCACACGCACCTTATAGTAGGTTCACATGGTACCATCAAAATTCCGATCAACCGCCATAACTAATGGTCCCAGGAAGGCGCCAATCGCCGAGACCACCACAGCAGAACAAAAACCAGCCAGCAAAGAGTGAATCTGGACCCAAAAATCTGCGTGGTCTAATGATATAGGTTATGGGTCTTCTCCCGGCAAAACCCTCCTCATAACGAACAGTATTTGTTGATAACTCCAGGGGCCATCAGCAAGAATCTGAGTGAGATCAGCCTCGTGATAAAATCGGATCAGATAGCGCTGTGATTGAATTTGTCGCATTGTTACCCCCATTGCTGGCTGCCAGATCGCAGCCATCGTGTCCTAGAAAAAACCAAATTTGATCAATTTTATCGTCACCAGTCTGCCAATTGCGTAATACTCTCCTTCTCGCTCACCATCAACAGTAGGTACATTTGGCAGTTGCACCGTAACCTCCTCATCGTCAACATCAGCTAGTGTTAGATTCACACACATATTCGGTAAATCATCATGATTATCAGATTCCATTGTGAAAAACCCTATAAACGAATAGGGAGAAGAGAACTCGCAAAGAAAGGCGAGAGAAAAAAACCTTTTTCTTTCAGATGATGATCGCTTTTTATCAAAGAATAAAAGAATTTACAAACACACTTAAATCGCATAGGTGACCTTAGTGGTAACCGCGTTAGAATCTCAATCACATAGTCCCTCGAAATTATGCAGTTTTCCATTGTTGACTGATAGATGTTTCGAATGGTGGAAGTGGAGCTTTTATTTGGGCTATTTCGTATGGAATGGCTAAACAACAGTATAGGGTTTCTGGTGTGGTTATCGAATGGTGGGATAGGTATATATACAAGACAATTGGCAGATTGTACTCTTCTCCATATAGTAGGTGGTTTTTGTTTTTATTTACTCCGTATATTTATATTCTTTTTTATATTTTAAATACTATGAGAAATGATTTTTAAGTGCGATTTAAGGTGTAGTATAGTTTCTTTTTTTATTGCCAAACACTAGTTAATTAGACCGTTGCTTATATGATTTTATTTTAATGATTTAGACTATTCTTACCCGGACTCAAGATTTCTATACTCTTGCATGATAAGATTGTTAAAAGAGTAAATAATCGTAATTCAACAACTTACCAGGTGAGATGGAAGAATTTTTGCGTGGTCTAAGTTCTTACAAAGAGCTACCTCACAAGAGGGTGAAACTCTTGCATTATTATAAATCACGTGTCCTCGTTCACAATCTTTCAATTCATATGATCACATCAAACACTCTTAACTTATTAAGCTTTTAAAAATTATAACTAAACACTCTAATTTATTAAAATTGGTCAAATAAATCTAATTTACTAATAGGTTACCGGTACGGTAATATTACGATGCAAGCCGTCGATGGCCACTGTTAATTACCGTTGACCGCTATCTTTGAAATTAAATTAAAATCGCCACCATACATTCACAAAACAATATATATATATATATATATATATATATATATATATATATATATTGTTAGGAATAAAGTGTAATGGTTTTGACATGCCAAATTTGTATTTGTAGATCCCCCAATCTTATTTCTAGGTCTAGTAGAGTCTTAGACCGTGATCGGGAAATTATTTAATTATGAAAAGAGAAAAACAGAGGAAAATGGATGAAAATAGAAGAAGAAGATATAAAACCGAAAATCAAGAATTTGTCTGGAGAAAATGACAAATTGAAGAAGAAGATGAATGATACAATATTCACGTCGCTACTACTCAAAGAAGATATCCCAGAAGAATTTTCGTGAAGAAAATTAATATTGGAAGAATGCATGAAATTGACTTGGAGATCAAGCATCTATGGAAAGAAAGAAGTACATCAAATGTGATTGGAGATTTAATCAAAAGCTGTACAGACGAAGTGGATGATGCTTGATATATTATCCAAAGTGGCTCGAGTTTGAAACTCACCATTAACAATTTTACAAGGTAAAATTTGAGAAGTCAAATTAAATTAATCTGATGGAGTTGGGCGCTAGTTTAAGCTTTGGGGGCCAATCATTGAAATTGGGAGCCAGTTTCAGAGAAATCAAAATCAATTGAAATTTGGGAGCCAGTTTCAGAGAAATCAAAATCAATTGAAATTGGGAACTTGGAAATCAATTCAATATGGGAACCAATGTAGGAGAAGTCTGGAGCCAATTTCAATTGGGAACTTGGAAATCAATTCAATATGGGAACCAATGTAGGAGAAGTCTGGAGCCAATTGAGGTTGTAGTATGGGATGCAATTTCAAAATTGGGGACCAGGAGAAGTCTGGGAGCCAATTTCAAAGTCAAAGTGGGAAGCAATTGAAAGCACCAATTGAGGTTGTAGTATGGGATGCAATTGAGGTTGTAGTATGGGATGCAATTTCAAAATTGGGGACCAGGAGATGCAATTTCAAAATTGGGGACCAGGAGATGCAATTTCAAAATTGGGGACCAGGAGAAGTCTGGGAGCCAATTTCAAAGTCAAAGTGGGAAGCAATTGAAAGCACCAGGAGCAGTTGGGAGCCAATTGCAAGTCAAAGTCAATTGGGAGCCAATTACAATGGAGAAATTCAAATTGGGTGCCAATTACAAGCCAATTGCAAGTCAAAGTCAATTGGGATTCAAATTGGGTGCCAATTACAAGCCAATTGAAATTGGGTGTCAATTACAATGGAAAAATTCAAATTGGGTGGAAGTTCAAAGCCAGTTTGAAGTCTGAGAACACCTAGACGTGAGAATGAAGAAGATGAAGCAGAACTTACAGTGAAAAATATTCTCACAAGGAAAATACTAGTCTGACTAGTATGGGATTAAATTGAAGAATATTTTTAAATCCCAAAGATACAAGGACCACTTTAGAGCTGATCAGAGAAGCCATTCTACACCAAAACTGAGACCCAGATATTTCCACTAACGTAAAACCAGAGGAATATCAGATGAAGTTTGGGAGCTCATTTACATGGAGATGAAACTCCATCAACGGCTAGCTTATCTCTTTCTGACATTTTTGCAGAAGATAAGATAAGATCTCTGACAAAAAATACAAGATTTCAAAAATGAGAGCGTCTCTTTCCAACGGACAGATTCTCATTACCAGCTATAAAATGATGAAGATATGAAGACTTGAAGAAGAACGGAGCAGAGAAAAATATACGAGCAGAGAGCTAAAATCTTCAAGTGTGAGAAAAGAACTCAGAGAGCTTCAAAAGAGAAATATTCTGAGAGTTCTTAAACAGAGCAAAGCAGAGCATAAATATCAAGTGCTTTACTTGATATATTCAAAGAGAGAAAACACTCAGAGCTGTCAAGAGAAATCATTCCAGAGTGTTTATCTTCATCAAAGAGACCTGCGCATCATTGAAGATCATCTACAGAGTCTCAGAAGTTGGAAGCAAGACAACACTTGTTTTGGAGCAAAACAAGAGAAGGGAGGAAAGTAGCACGGAGCTGTGAAATCCTGGATTGTCACACGGAGCTGTGAGATCCGAAGCAGCAGTGTCGGAGGCACTGGGCGTGATTGGTGTGGGCTTGGTGATCAAAGCACCAGATCACGGGATACGTTTCTACCGGAGTGTGGAAGACGGGGGGAAAGTAACGCGGAGTCGTGAAATCCTGGGATAGTAGCGCGGCGACGTGAAACCCGAAGCAGCAGTGTGGTGTCACTGGGCGTGATTAGTGCGGGCTTTGTGATCAAAGCACTAGATCACGGAAATTCATTGTATCTTGGAACCAAGGAGTGGTAGATATAGTGAATTGGCTCTTGGAGAAAAGAGCAAGTGGAGTAGGAGGATTACACCACCTCGCGAACCACTATAATTGTCTTGTGTTCTTTACTGCTTTCTTTACATACTGCTCTTTACATATTCGCTCTCACGAAGATATACTGCTCACACAATCTCACACACACTTTATGTTTATTTATTTCCGCTGTGCACCATACTCTAACAATCTAGTTAAGAGTTTTGGTTTATCTCTGTCTTAGCAATTGTTGTGCTGTGCGAAAAAGTTTGAAAGTCTATTCACCCCCCCCCCCCTCCTAGACTTTCACCTTACCTCTTTTGGGACCAACAATTGGTATCAGAGCAGGCTGTCTATTTAGGCCAAATTGCTATCTAAGCACGTGCCTAACTGGGTCAACCGTTTCTGACTGCTAGACAGATCCATTCTACAAAGTGTGTGAATTGGATTAATCTTTCATATCTCTCGTGATGATGATGATGAAGAAAGATTTAGCTCAAAATCTATTATTCTCTCTTGATAAATTTGATGATTGGAAAGTTCGTATGCAGGTACACTTATCGGCTTTACACGATGAAATGTGGGAAGTTATTTCCACT